TGTCGGTCGTTCAGCTTTGGCTGGGTCATGAAATGACTAACAAATGTTTTGTCTATCTTGACCACGAACAAGGTTCTCAACAGATAGTGCCTCCAAAGGCATAAGCAGTGGACGACAGCAAATAATTCTTTTTCGTGGGCGGAATAGCATTGTTCTGTATCCTTCAACTTCCGGCTCTCGTATGCAACTGGATGCCCCTCTTGTAGAAAGACTCTGCCCAGGGCATGCATTCATTTGTACTTCAAACGACTTAGCCAAATTAGGAAGGGTCAAGACGGGGCTACTATACATAGCCACTTTCAATGCGTTGAAGGCTTCCGCTCGCCTAGGACCCCAATCCCTAGGCATGACTTTCTTTAAAAGTTTTGTCAATGGCCCTACAATTAGAGATACTTTTTCACAATTCACCGATAGAAGTCGCATGGCCAAGGAATGCCCTCAGAGCATGGATATCCTTAGGCAGCGGCTAATCTGTGATGGCCTGGATTATTTGTTGCCATCTTGATCTTCCCTTCCTCGATAACATGTCCAAGGAAGTCGATCTATTTTGGGTGAAGGAGCACTTGGATAGCTTCACATATAATTCATGCTCCCGCAGTCGAGCTAGGACTTCTACATGTGCTCCAGGTGTTCCTCCGTTGTTTTGCTATATATCACAATGACATCCAAGTAGACGACTACGAATTCGTCAATGTATTCTAGGAAGACTTGGTTCATCAGGGTGTAAAATGTGGTTGGAGCATTAGTCAAGACGAATGGAATGACCAGGAAGTCATACGACCCATATCTTGTCACACATGTCATCTTGTATTCATCTCCTTTGGCAATCCGGATTTACCAGTGACATGTCTTCAGATCTATTTTGGTGAACACTGTAGCACCACCCAATCTATCGAACAGGTCCTCCATTAGTGGGATAGGGTAATTATACTTCACGGTTATCTTGTTTAGGGCATGATAATCCACGAAGAGTTGTAGGGTGCCATCATGTTTCTTTTGGAACAACACAGGGGACCCATAAGGGGACTTGGAGGGCACAATGATTCCCATGTCTAGCATTTCAGTCAACTGTCGAAGTTCGGCGAGTTCAGGTTGTGACATTCTGTATGGCGCCCGGGTGGGTGGCTTCGCACCTGGCACCAACTCAATCTCATGGTCCATAGTTCGTCTAGGCGGGAGCCGCTTTGGCATATCCTGTGGTATGACGTCTTCAAACTCCTTTAGCAGCTCCTTCACGGGTGCAGGAATTAGACCCGAGAAACATTCAATATCTTCAATACAGAGTGTAGTCAGGAACGTAAGTTCATGTCTTTTGACTCTCTTTTTCAAATTTAAGGCCAAAATGTTTCTCGCGGCCATCTTTATGGTTGTGCATGGGATAATGCAGGGTTTAACCCTGTTTGCTCCCATTATCAGTAGCATGTCTGCATAAGGTACATGAATGGTGTTGGTTTGTCTTATGAATTCCAATCCAACTATCAGTTCGAAGTCGTTTATGATCACCACACGCAAGTTAAATTTTCCTTCATAGTGACGCAGCTTCACCGGCACTCCTTTGTCTATTCCACCTACTGGCTGAGGCGGTGAGTTGATAGCCTTGATACGACCTCTGCCCTTTCCTACGACTAGACCAAGGTTCTCTACCTCAGTGGAGGCTAAGTAATTGTGAGTAGCGCATGGGTCCATCATTGCCTGAATAAGATTGCCATTAACTTTCATTTCGACGAAAATTAGGGTCTTCTCTTGGTTAAGATGAGGTCCCTCATCCGCCTTTGTTTTCCTTTTCTTGGAGGATAGGCATGGGTCCTTCTGGTTACCGCTAAGGCCTCAAAAATAGAACAAACAAGTGTGTTAAAGGCACCTATTGGTTTTGTCTGGTCAGCATTAGGGGTGTTCATGGTTCAGTTTGGATCGATTTTTCCCTAAAAAAAAACCAAACCAAGTAAGTTGATTTTTCAAATATTAGAACCAAACCAAACCAATTAAGTCGGTTCTTTCTCGATTCAGTTTATGTCGGTTTTTTAATTTTTTCGGTTATTTGTCGGTTTTTTCTTAAATATAAGACATACACTACAAAACACATATTTTGGCGACCACATTTTCAACGTAACACTATCAAATCAATTGCCCTTTGAGAAATCTATTATTTACCAAGATATATTGATGAGAGTCAAATAGTGATGAATAATTTAAGGACTCAATTAAAAATATATTATTTTTAACATGAAATATATTCTTACACTTAACAAAAGAAAACTACCGATCAAACTAGAATGTAAAGGTAAAGAACTGTATTAAAAGCGCAAATGATTAACATTTACTATAAATTTTTTGAAACTTTGTATATATATATATANATATATATATATATATATATATATATATATATAGGTGTAATAATAAATTTAAAATAGCTACTCCTATATTCGGTTTGATTCGTTTTTTTTTTATTAAAACCAAAACAAAACCGAATATGATCGGTTTTTAAATTTTAAAACCAAAACCAAACCAAACCAAAAAGTATCGGTCTTTTTGGTCGGTTTGGTTTGGTTTTCGGTTTGATTCGGTTTTTCGAATTTTTATGAACACCCCTAGTCAGCATCGTCCTCATCATTATCTATCCCATCATCAAAAGTTTGATGGACATTCATTTATGCCTGTGGGCATTCATTGTTCTAATGCGGCCCGCCGTAATGACGACATCCTAAAGGGGGCTTCCTCCTCGATCATTGTTGTGAGACACAACTCTATTATTGCCTGAGGAGGGAGTCTTAGATTTGGTTACACTTCGATCTCCTCCACTTCTTCTAGGGCCACCATTTCTAGGATGGCCCCTTTTGCATCCTCCTCGGATAGGTGGTTGAGGCATTTTATCTGAGGTTCCACTTGGTAGTCCCAAAGGTATTCTGCTGCTTGGATTTCCTTGGGCAAAGTATCTACCCTTTGTCTTTTCAACTCCATACAGGCATAAGGTTTCAAACCTTCCAGGAATGTGAAGTGTTTGTCTTTGTCCCCCATATCCCGTATGTTCAGCATGAGTGTAGAGAATTCACGCACGTAATCTCGAATCGGCTTGGTCTGGCCGAGCTCCTAGAGCTTTCTACGCACATTGTACTCTACATTTTCAGGGAAGAACTGTAAGTGTATGGCTGCCTTCAGGTTTCCCCATGTCTCAAAAGTATCTTCACCAGCTCTGATGGCTTCGTATTTCACCTGCCATCAGAGTTTAGCGTCACCTTGAACATACATGGCAACAGTTGCTACCTTCTTTGCTTCTTCTAACTCCCCCATGACATCAAAGTACTGTTCGATGTCAAAGATGAAGTTCTCCACTTCTTTAGCATTCCGAGCCCCATTGTAGGGCTTTGGTTCAAGGATCTTTAGCTTTTGTGGCATAGGGGCGAGGTTCGCAGCACCATCGATGTGGTTTTCGCCTCATCGGAGTAGGCCTTTTAACGCAACATTGACAACATTTAGCTGACCCATCAAGTTTTTTATGGTTTGCTACAGGGAAGTCACCATGTCTACCTTTTGCGCCTTATGGGCTAAATCCTCACTTCACTCATATTGGAGCCCTTCGAATTGATTGAAAATTTCGGCTGCCTTTGTGGATACCATTTGCCGGTTCCTTTAGAGTCGCAACTGATGTCTGCAATGTCTCTTTTGGCCTACCGCATCCTGTGGTCCAGGTCGTCCAGCCTTTGCACTAGGTTGGTTCTTAGATCGGGCACCGTACTCGCGATGGGTCGTAATATATTAACGGTATCTTCAAGGGTCGTAATACGGTTCCCATGATTCACCATGGTAAAAAATGGTGGCAATGGCAATGTGTTCCCTCGTCTGATGTCGAGCCTAGGCTCTGATACCAACTGTTACGTGATGCCTTCCTAATATGTCTTAGAAGGGAAACGTAAGACTAAGCAACTGATGTTCGTACGGTTACTATCTGCCAACTGGGGTCCGCTCCGTACGCTAGACGAAACTGTCAGTTTCGTATGAAAAAATGTCAAGAGCCATTGAGAGAACATATTAGAGAATGAGAATGAAAGAAAGCTTAATTGCATTAATAAAAGTTATTACAGAAAGTCAACAGGTGTCGAGGGGAGAGAGATACCAATACAGAGAATTGTTTGCTTGCTTAAAAGTTTAACTACTTGATCCCCCATAATAATGCTTAAAAGAATAAACCACTAAACAAGCTAAAGAATCATAATGGAAATATATAAAGGGACCTAGATTCCTATAAGGTAAAAGCAGGTCCACTGGGGGCACTTGGAGGGGCTGTAACCTTGTCTTTAGCATCAGGGTCTGCGCGCGCGGCGCTAGCCACAGGGCATAGGTCTATTGCGCTGACAACGGGGACACGCTGGGGCGCGGCCTACAGAGAGGCACTGTTGGCATCTTCCTACGGCTGGACGCTGGCAAGGGCTATTGATAGGGCGACATAGGCACATGCACACTTGTCACTTCGGCGCGGCCAAGACCACAGGACCGTCCATGATTCTAGGAGGCTTGCCAGGATGTCATGGGACGCGTCAAAGGGGTCATGAGTCATGGATGGAAAGTCACCCATGACAAATCAAATGAAAGCAGAGCCGGCAGCCTGCTCTCTCACGTTCCTAGCATAAATTAATAAACCAAAGAATTTTGACAAGTCCTACGCTTCAAGTCAGTATTTAGGAATATTCATAAAAGATTGAGGCAAAATGGATAGGATCCATTCATAGGGGTGGATAGAACTTTTAGATATCGGGTTTATCTTAACCAACTGCTTTCAATGTGAAATACAAATTTATGTGTAATATTTCATTAAGATTGTACTAATAAGTAGTAGATACGAACCTATAACTTAAAAAATATAACTGATTCACTACGAAGAACCTTAAAGATATAAGAGGTTTCGTGTTTAAGCCCTAGAAATGAAAAAAAAGATTTGGCAGGGAGCGTTTCCCCCTTTAATGGGTCTTATGCAGCAAGAATGCGGAGTAGTCTAGGGCCCCTTTAATTTCCCTCTTTCCAAAAACTTCGTTGTCACATTGAATCAACATATGATGAGATCGATCTCGGTTCATACACTAAGTTCTAATTCACACTACTAATCAATCTTACAAAAAGGAGACATAGCTGTGCAAATGAATAGTACAAAAAGAGTCACATAAGCTGTGCAAAATATCAATCTTGAGCAACGTTTACAGGAGAAGAGCCACTTCCACTTTTCTTATGATTGGTAGATTGTCCAGTGAAGGTCCTTCCCATGAACTTTTTGGTTTTGCTTAGGCCACTTCTTACTACCCTTACACCAGCACCTAGTCCTGCACCAATGCCACTGCCTGCAGCACCTGAAGCAGCTAATGCTGCTGCACCATCAAGGGCTTCCATTGAACTTCCAATGACCCCTTCTGCTTTTAGTTGCTTCCTTTCTTCTATGATCTTCTTCTCTTCCTCTAGAGCTGCTAATTGCTCTTTCTTGCTGAATTCATGATACAGTATCTGCATTTAAAAAGACATTAGTCAGTCATACTAAGTACATGCTACTGTTGGAGAATACCAAAGGAAACTAATTAAGTGTGCTAGGGCCATTTGGTTCACATACTAGTTATGCGGGATTATAATGCATGGAGTTTTTATGCGATGAGTAATCGTGAAATGATTGTTATGCGGTGCTTAATATGAGGGAATTGTTACACAATGATTAATGCTGAAGGAATTGTTATGCAAATATTTACTTACTTCAAGGACATTTTTGTCTTGATACAGTTTAATCCACCTATTACCCATACATATATTCTTATTCCGATATTTTCTCTCCCGCTACATAGATTCTCCCGTAACTTAATACAAATATACTATTTAATAGTGCCAACAACTTATGAAGAGATTATTTTATTCTCATGCGGCCAACCATACGTTGTGCTAGTTGTGTGGCGATGATTTATTTGTATTACTTTATGCGGGATTTTAAGTTGGCATCAATAATACTAATACAATCAACCAAACTACGCTTTTAAGTGGAACTTCATGGCCAAAAATATGATTTGTTGTGTACCTTGATAGTGATGGTTCCTCTATCCTTCTTATCTTTGACTTTGAGCATATCAAATTTCGGCAGCAACCTTAGTTCAATTTCCTTTGGTGTCTCGGCTTCCAGCTCGTTCAAAGGCAACTTTGTAACACCCATTCGATCATCTTCTCCGATGTCTTCATCAAAGACCTGTTCATAGTCATGGATGTGACATGAAAACCAGAAGGGATAGAGGCTGAATTATCTCATGAATTGACTAAAAACAATGTAAAAGAATCAGGGGGCATATTCTAGACAGAGCAGTTTCCATGCAAATATGAGAAATGGATATAGCAATTAAACCTCAAGAAACAGAGACTGTGTCTCCTTGTCTTCTGCAATCAACACAAATGTCTCGTCCCAAACAGGATTCAGGTTGTTGTCAATGGTTTTTGTCTTAAATTTGAACAGTGGACGAATATATACAACCACGTATGGATCAGATTTTCCAATCATTTCTTGGTTCTTTAAGTTTGTTGCCCTGATTACTGTTACTGTTAGCTTCCCCTGTGGTTTAAGCTCCAAATCGCTGCATCGGACATAGAAAAAATCGGTTACATAAAAGATGAAAACAGAATGTATGGGGAGAAAAGGAACTAACGTTTACATGGATGCACACACTCATACACAGAAGAAAGCAAAAGGGAGCACCCAACTTTTGCTTATTTTTCCAGTTACAAAGGATGAAAAATAAATCGTAGATAATTAGTAGCTGGATAAGAAATTAGTAAAGATTGAAGATACCTGGTATCCACAGGTAAGCCTCCAATCGGTACAACAATTCTGTGAGGCCATTCTAGCATATCGGTTACAATTGAATCTACAGTGTCCTTTCAATGAGAAAAGAATACAGTGTTAGACTGAGAGGCAAAGATTTGAAATAAGTAATGCACTGTTAACACTTACTTCTATCATGTCAGAAAGTCCAGGAATAGCTGTTAAACTTCCACCAACAGCTTTCAAGGTATAATCAATTCTCGGCTTTGGCTGGTTGGATAAACAAGGTAATCAGTCATTCAAATGTCTATCAGGAATAAGCTTCTCATTAATCCAATTGAAAGATTCCAGAGTAATGTAACAAGGTGCAAAATCACACGTCTGTCTAGACTAGTTCATGCATTATTATCTTGTTCTCATATTTTTATCTTGTTCTCTGTTAGTATAATACTTTATGTTCACTTAAACCAAGAGAATGTCTTGGACCTACTTTAAGGTGGTCTTTTTTCACTATGGCAATCTTAGTCTATTCTTGTCACAAGTCCAATATACATGATTTGTCATCTAACCAAAAAGGATTGAAATTTGTGTCCACGGTAAAGTTCATGACTTAATACTCATTTACTTGTAATGTTAAACTAATTTGAAGGTTAAATTTGCAGAAAGAAATGAAGATTGAGTGCAGCAGATGAGAGAGAGTATACATCGAGAAATATCTCTGTATGTATTTGAGAGAAAAATTGACTAACTCAAGGTTCTGGATATGTTCCTCCTGTTATATACAGAATTGGGCCTAATTAAATTGGGCCTAACTACAGCACTCTCAATAATTACACTTTGGACCTCAGCTACATAACCAATACAAACTAATACAAACCAATACAAAAATAACTAATACAAAAATGTGCTACACCCAGGCTTGTTATCCAACACCCCCCCCCCCTGCAAGTTGGAGGGGGGAAGCACCTTCAACTTGGAGAGAAAACCATGGTGAACTATCCCAGTCAGAGGCTTAGTTAAAATGTCCGCCAGTTGGTTGGAGCTGCTAACTGGATGTAAATCAATTAAGCCTTCTGATAACTTTCCTCGGACAAAGTGGCAATCAACTTCGATGTGTTTTGTGCGTTCGTGGAAGACGGGATTACGAGCAATGTGTAAAGCAGAATGATTATCACAGAAAACAGACACAGGGGCCACCCTTTCAACACCCAAATTAGCTAATAAGCGAGTCAACCAAGTCAGTTCTGCCACCAGTTTACTTAGAGCACGATACTCAGCTTCAGCACTACTTAGGGAGACCACTGGTTGCTTTTTGGACTTCCAAGATATAGGACTACCACCAAGAGAAACAAAGAACCCTGTAACAGACCTACGGGAGTCGGGGCAAGCAGCCCAGTCACTATCACAGTACCCTTGCAAGGCAAAGTCCGAAGAATTGTTGAGAAGAATACCATAATCAACAGTACCCTTAAGATAACGCAAGAGATGTAATGCTGCAGCTAAATGAGGAACCCGAGGAGCCTGAAGGAACTGACTGAGATGTTGTACAACGAAGCTCAAGTCAGGTCTAGTATGGGTAAGAAAATTAAACTTACCAACAAGGCTTCTATACTTCTCTGGATTAGAAAGCAACTCCCCATCATCAGCTTGCAACTTCAGATTTAACTCAATGGGAGAGACAACAGGAGACACATAAGTGCAATTGTGTTCAGATAAGAGATCCACTACAAATTTCCTTTGATTAAGTAAAAGCCCAGGAGGAGTGGAAATCACCTCAATACCCAGGAAGTAGTTTAACTGGCCCAAGTCTTTGATTCTAAATTGGTCATCAAGGTAAGATTTCAAAGCTGAAATTTCTGAAACGTCATCCCCAGTAAGAATGATATCATCTACATAGACGGCCAATAAACCCATAGAGTTGCTAGTTCTTTTTGTAAATAGACTGTAATCATTGAGTGAATGAACAAACTCTTTCGAACACAAAGCACTATAAAGTTTTGCATACCACTGGCGGGAAGCCTGTTTATGTCCATAAAGAGATTTTTGGAGCTTGCAAACATATGGCTGAGTAGATGTGGAAGAAGAATCAACAAAAACACCTTGGGGTAATTTCATGTACACCTCCTCATCCAAATCCCCATGAAGGAAGGCATTATTGACGTCAAGTTAAAATAATGGCCATTGGTTCTTTACTGCTACAACAATGAGGCACTTCACAGTGGTCATTTTGACCACTGGTGAAAAAGTCTCATTGTAATCTACCCCAGCAGTTTGTGTGTCACCCCACACTACCAACCTAGCCTTATACCCTTTTACTGAGCCATCTGCTTTAAACTTCACTTTGTACACCCATTTGCACCCAATGGCCTTCTTCCCATCAGGCAAGGGAACAACAGACCATGTATTGTTAGCCTCAAGTGCCTCAAACTCCTTTCTCATCGCTTCTTGCCATTCAGGCACTAAAGCAGCTTGAGAATAGGTATGTGGCTCAGATAATACTGTATGTGACAAAGATTGTGCATCCAAAGACTTGGACTTAGGGCAATGGGAAAAAGAGGTGGTGACTGATGTGCAAATATAATCATTGAGGTATGAAGGTTGAATATGTGTCCTACTGGATTTCCTTAGGGATACTGTTGGGTCAGATTCAGGAAAAGAGGAGAGAACATGGGCATTAATAGGGGAAGAACTGGAATCATATCCAGAAGGAATGGGTGAAAGGTCAGGTGAAGAGATGGATGTAGAACGAGTGGAACAGATGATGAATCTGAAGGAGTAGGAGAAACAGGAGGAATAGGAGAAGAAGGAGATGTTTGGACAGAAGTAGAAGGAGAGGAAGTAGGAACAGAAGAAGATGAAGAAGGAAGGAAAATGAAATCACAAAGGACTTGAGGAGGAAGGGAATTAGCAGAAGAGGATGAAGAAACTGGAATAGCAAAAGGAAAGATAGATTCATGGAACACTACATCTCTAGAGTTAAAAAAAGATTTAGTTTCTAAGCTAAGAAGTTTGTAACCCTTTTTTCCAAAGGGGTACCCCATACAAACTGCAGGAATAGACCTACTAGTAAACTTGTCTCTGTGGACAGGAGGCTTAGATGCATAGCAAAGACACCCAAATACCCTAAGATGAGAATAGTAGGAGTTGTACCAAAAAGCAATTCATATGGAGATTTATTGTGAAGAAGCTTAGAGGGAAATCTGTTTATCAAATAAGTGGCAGTAAGAACACATTCCCCCCAGTATTTCAGGGGCACTTTGGAGTGAAAAAGAAGGGCCCTGGATGTTCCAAGAAGATGTCTATGCTTCCTTTCCACCACCCCATTCTGTTGAGGGGTGTATGGACAGGAATTATGATGGACAATACCTTGTTCTATGAAGAAAGAAGAAGCAGAAGAACTAGAGCCCAACTCTAAAGCATTGTCAGACCTTATAGTTAAAAATTTAGTGTGAAACTGAGTTTGGACCATAGCAATAAAGGCTTTTAGTATTGGAAATGCATTGGATTTAGTTTTCAGCAAATGTGTCCAAGTGGTTCTTGTAAAGTCATCAACTATTGTTAGAAAATATTTGCAGCCATCATGTGTAGAGGCATGATAGGGGCCCCAAGTATCAATGTGTATTAGTTGAAAAGGAGAATTTGTGTGAATTTCACTATTTGGAAAGGGTAACCTGGTTTGCCTTGCCATTGGACAAATGTTGCAAATAAAGTCTTGTTTACCAGATAGCACAGAAGCAATAGAAGAAATAGATTTCAAATGACTAAATGGAATATGTCCCAATCTGCTATGCCAAAGAGTGTTCATTTTATTTATGTGAGTGGTATTTACAATTGGAACAGAAGAATGAAAAGCAACAGAACACTCCACATTATGTCTATTGGAAACAGGAAAAGTAGATGAATTTGAACAAGTAAAAGTAGATGAATTGAGGGCAGCAGTAAATGAAGTAGATGGTGCAGAAGAAGGCATGTGCAGAATGTAGAGCCCATGTTGTGTTTTACCAAACTCCAGAGGCCTCTTCATGGAAAGGCCCTGTAAGATAAAGCATGAATAGGGACTGAAAATTAGTAAACATTTTAGTTGTGATACTAATTTGTGCACAGAAATCAGGTTGTACTGAAAACTAGGAACGAGAAGAACATGTTTCAGAATAGTATCATTGGACAAAGGTAAATCCCCAACACATGTTACTTTTACTTTATAACCATTGGGTAAGGTTACCAAGTAAGGAATAGGTACAGGTTTAACATTTTGTAGTAGGTTACTATGGGAGGTCATATGGTCAGTAGCCCCAGAGTCCAGAATCCAGGATGTTTTATCAACCTTACAAAACAAACAAGTATTAATTGAACATTTTGGCCTATTACTCGAAAAGCAACTGAGAATACCTGCAAAATTTGCAGAAGCAGTAAGAGTAGGTGATGAGGAAGAGTCCTGATCAGATATATGATGTTGGTGAAGAAGAGATATCAGTTGAGTGCACTGGTCTGGGGTCAACCCTGGAATGGTTAGAGCGTTTGGAGCTGAAGTTGCAGGTTGAGTGAACTGCTTAGGCTCATGCTGGTTGAATTGCTTGGGAACAGCTACTTCAGTCTAAACATTAGCAACAATCCTCTTAGTCTTAGTGAACTTAAAATTTGGAGAAAACCCATGCTTTTTGTAGCATTTATCCACTGTATGCCCGAGTTTGTTGCAATAACTGCATATTACATTGTTTCTCCTGGGATCAAACATGGTTTTAGGAGGAAATGACTTCTGAGATCCCACCGAAAAGGATGCTGACTCTGATGGAAACGGAGAGATATTAGGCTGAATCTCCCTTTGGCGTTCATCGGTGACCAACAAAGAATATGCCCTATTGATGGAAGGAAAGGGGCTCATCATTAGGAGATTGCTCCTAGCATTTGCATAGCTCTCATTGAGAGCCATTAGAAATTGGTACATCCTCTGATTTTCCTCAAGCTTCTGGATATCCTTTTTACCACCTCCACACGTACAGTGACTGTCAGAATGAACTGTTAGAGTACTGAGTTCATCCCAAACACTCTTCATCTTGGCATAATACTCAGGAATGCTCATAGAACCCTGAGAAATTGAAGCAAGTTCTTTCTTAACTCGATAAATTCTAATCTCACTAGGTTGTCCATATCTATCTTCCAGCTCTATCCATACATCTTTTGCAAGTTGACAGTAACGAACACTTTTACGAATCGCTGGCGAAAGAAGATTATGAATCCAAGAGATCACCATGTTATTACATCTATCCCATTGACTGAAAACAGGTGAGTTCAACGGTAGCCTTTCACAATCAGGTTGAATGAAATACAACTTGTTTTTGACAGAAAGAGCAATAAGCATGCTCCTTCTCCAGTCACTATACCCTGTCCCGTCGAAAATTGTCCCTACTAGCGAGAGCCCCAAATTATCCGAGGGATGGATGTAAAGTGGGTGATTGTGATCAATTGTGTCATTGGACAATGTATCACGGTTAGAATTGGCAGAGGAATCAGCAGGAGACTTATCAGAAGGAGTAGAACCCATTACTAAAGAAAAATTAGGGTTTTTTTTTTTTGGTTGTATCTACACTAAAACCACGAAAAACACAAAATCCATGAAGTAAGGTCAGAGAAAATTGAGAAGAAAGGGAATATAGGGTAAAATCATACGAAAAAGGAAAATATCACCAGCAAAAGACGAAAACTCCGGCGAAACTCTGATTAACGGAAAACCTCGAAATTTTCACCGCCGGAAAAAATGGACAAAATGAACATCAAATTGAAGAGCGCACTCCAATCTACCCGGATACGCTGCTCTGATACCATGTTAAACTAATTTGAAGGTTAAATTTGCAAAAAGAAATGAAGATTGAGTGCAGCAGATGAGAGAGAGTATACATCGAGAAATATCTCTGTATGTATTTGAGAGAAAAATTGACTAACTCAAGGTTCTGGATATGTTCCTCCTGTTATATACAGAATTGGGCCTAAATTGGGCCTAACTACAACACTCTCAATAATTACATGTTGGGCCTCAGCTACATAACCAATACAAACCAATACAAAAATGTGCTACACCCAGGCTTGTTATCCAACATGTAATAATATGATTCAAATGAAATTTGCTTATTCATGAATCAAGTTCAGTTAACATGTCTTACTATAAAAATAATTTTTTAAAAATTAATCCAGAAAGAAGGCGAGACATTATGACATTCAAATTTACTGTCGAATATCTCAGCCAAAATTCTGTTTAATCAAAACACAGTTCAAAGGAACTCTAAATGCTGATCTAAGACAAATCGCTAGAAATAGCAGCCTTCTCTTGCTCTCTCTCCATTTTCGGGAGCAGGATGGGGTATTGAAGGAGATTTTGAGGTCCAACACAAACTGAAGAATAAAAGAAGCATACTTTCTCATAGAATTTGTGTAATACCTCAGAAAGTAAAGCAACAACAACGGCAGAAATGCAAGGAATTTCCTCAGCTAGTTGAAATATAACACGAATAACTGTGAAGACTTGAAGATCTTTCAACTGCAATCAATATGAAAATATAACACGAATAACTATCAGTGCAACTATTTTATAGATAACTCAGTAATCAAAGTAAAATTGTCCTCAGCAAATTAGATAGGTGAAGAGTTGAGGCACCCGACCTGAATGGGTATAGAAGCAACCACTGCATCAACTTCTAAAACAATATTGGGATCACCACCCCATCGGAGGTCAATATCCATAATGATTTGACCCTTTTTCAGGCTCTGAACACGAATACCTGCATTAATTAAGTATTGTACGTGCTTTCAAAGAGGGAATCAAACATGATTAACACTTAATCAACTAGACTTCATCTTTACCAATGAAGTGCTCGGTCCAGATAAATCAAATTAACTACACTGGAGTATGAGTATGAGTAATGAACAATGGAGAAATAGTCCAGTTCCCAAGGACATTCTCCAGTAGAATGCCTAATAAAAAAGAACATAACAAATTAGTGGATAGGTTTATATTGCTACCTTCAATTTTAGGAGCCACAGTTCCCAAGGAGAGTTTGCTGAATTTCAATGAAGAAATTCCAGGAGGTCGATAATCTTCTAAAATAGGTTCAACAGAGTCTTTTATAATAGCTTCTCCTGCCTGCACAGTGACATATTCCAAAGATTAGATTTATGGCGTCACAACATGGAGGTTGAGCAAATACAAACAGGGTTCTACCACGACAAAGAGACTACAGATGCTGCTGATCTAACTGAAAATTTTACATTGACATAACAAGTATCAACTTTCAAATTATCCATCCATAGACAGTGTCAACCATCATAGAGGATGAGGTGTATAAAAGCAAATACTCAGTCTCATTGCACAGAGGAATCGACTAAAAAACTCTATGCAAAGCCAAAGATCCATCTGCTCAAATTTCTGAAAAAGAACATCTACGCCAACAGCACTCTCTTCCTATCTCCCACACTTAATTTCAACCTCAATACTATGTCGTTCACATCAATATTAATAGGGCATGGCCAAGTCTTTTAAACAACTTTGATATGGCAAACTAGAAGCATAGTATAAAATACCAATGCATGAAAACTTAAAATCTTATAGATTATGTTAAGGATCAGCATCTAAGACATAACAACGTTATTGAAAGATCTATTCTCTAAAGAGAAGAAAAGATTTGAGGATCATTAGAATAGACATTTTTGCTCAATATGCTGATAATCAAAGAGAACCTCCTACGCATTTAGATACATCATACACCCACAAAGTAAGCATTATGTTATGATTGAAGTTACGAGACCCGACTTACAAAGCAAAAATTGCACAGGATACCAAAGATAGGTGTAAAAGCTTACATCAGCAACAAATGGCCAAAGTTTGCTCAATTGTTTGTTCAACCATTTGACCTGCCAGCATAAGACAATTTGAGAAAATGTAACATTACTAATGCCTGATATAATATAGTTTATTTCTTTAAATTGCAGAAAGAAAACATGTGAAAACTACAGATGATAAACAGCCTCTAAGATTCACAGCTGACATTGATAAGATCAGGAGACAACCTTGATAATGTCTATCTCAGCCCTATCATTATGTTCATGAACTACGCCATCTACTGCCCTTTAAAATATATCACCAATCGTCACCACGTTCCCACCCTCCAACCTATAAAGCTCCAAAATGTACTACAGTTCTAATCAACAGATTCCAAAAGTAGAACCTACCTTCATTGACTATATTTCTTAAGCTATAAAACATTACTATTGAACTGAGAAGAAATTTTGTGTTCAGCTGAAAATAGGATTACTATAGAATGATGAGTGTCAAACATCATATGGGGTGGAAACTGAAAGAAGTAAAGCCATCATCCAACCTGTTCAAAAACTGGGAATGATATCCATTCAGGAAACTTATCTCCACAGATTTTCTTTAGATCATCCCTGTTGAGGGAGCCCATTAGTTTTACATCTACGGCCTGTGTTAAAGAAATAAAATACAGAAAAGCAATGAATACCAGTCTTTCAGAAAGAAAACCAACATGCATATCCATAATTCAGATTTTCTGTTCAAGTAGCATAATGAGGAGCACCATCTAAATGTTCACATCTACCTTTCAAAGCAACCACAGTGGCTAGTTATTACTCTTGTAGCAAAGTACCTTGAGGAGAAACTGAACTATCAATACATATGGACCAAAAGTATAGAGTATCAAGCAGCAAAACTACGTTCGAAATCTATTATATTTACTTGTTTAGTGAATTTTTTAACACATATACAGGGTTCGAGCCAAAACTACTGGGTTCACATGTACCCATAAGTTGAGCTCTACATCTGCCCCTGCAGTCTAATGCCAGCATATAGTTGGCTAAATTTTCTTCAATGAACTTAATTCCTAAAATGCGCTTCCCAAAATCATTCCCTATTTTGCTCAGAATAGCAAATTTAAGCCTTTGCAAATTATATAGTCATTAGACAAATTCCTCACAAAGAAAATACGTGTGACAACATAACAGTCCTATCGTAATTAGGTCACATGAGAAAATTACAACAGAAATTTTCATCATGTAGTATGTGAATTGCGAAAGAGAATGTGCAATTATATATATATACCTTGGCGATTCGCTTAGTGCTTCGATACCTCATCATATATTGCCAACCCGCCATTAAACCGATCCCGAAGATCATCCCCATCATAATCCCCGAAATTAATCCCATTTTTTTTTTCTTATAGTTGACTGCTTCGAGCCAATTTTCCTAATAAAAGGACAAATTTGCTGTAGAGCCAAAAAGATCAGAAAATGAAGAAATCTCAGAGAGAGAGAGGATGAAGACCTACGGTGAAATTCAGAATCCAAATCGACGCGTGGAAAACTAACAGAGAAGAGCGAAATATTCTATTTTCTATTTTTTTTTTTCGTTCGATCGAGCTGAAATTGACAAAGGAATCCACGAGCCAAAAATTTGAAAGGTGGTTAACAGAGTTAGTTAGTCAGGGACAAAAATGTCAGTTCGTGTGGGGTCCTTAGTTTTGAAAAGTTTATTACACAATTAGTGAGATTTGAACCCATACATTGTGTGAAATACTCCCAATGTTGGTAATAGTGCCGTCAATACAGCCCAGCCCAACCAGTGATTTAACAAAGTTGTCCTAGAATTTTTGGAGCCCATCTAAAAATGAGGCTTTTAAGCCCGGTTTAAGTAAGCCCATGGCCCATGAGACTTGATTGAGATTAGGCTGGGCCGATCCGAGGGCCTAATAAAAATATTTATTTAAAATATAAAAAGTATACTGCCTCTAGGATGAAAAGCCAGAATTGAATCTTTACTTAGATGAACCAAAGCTTGATCTTGAGAAGTTTCAAGAGATGGATGTTGTCATGTATTGGAAGGACCATTCTAGAAAATATCCCGATCTTTCATGATGACATGATGTACTTAATATTCCTATTACCACTGTAGCATCAGAGTCAACAGTTAGCAATGGTGGGCGTCTTCTTACAAAGTACAGAAGTTGCATCCATTATGAAAATGTCCAAATACTTGTTACTACTCGAAATCGGCTGCACGACTTTTTTCCAAACTCAAGCTGGTAATATTTTTTTATGTGAATTTGAATATTATTAGTTTTTAAAATTTAATTATTCTTAATATTTAACTAATTAATATTGCACATGAATTTTAGATGTAGATGAAAGTGAAGATGTTAAGACAATCTTGTCACAAGCGGATTCAAATGTGTTTGATGAAGATGATGTGTTGGATATCTTATAAGCGTCATGAATGTTCTCTTGAATAGTTTGTTTTGAGTTTTGACTTATAGTAGGTCAGAACTTAAATAAAAAATAAGAAATTATATTTTAAAAAATAATGTGCCGGCCCGTGGGGGCCCGCGACCCACATAGAGCTGGGTTGAGCTGACCATTATAAGGCCCATCAAAATGGTGGGCTAGTCCAACCCAGCCCAACCCGTCAATTGCTAAAGCCTACGTGGGTTGGGCTGGGCTAACTCGGCCCAGCCCATATTGACAGCTCTAATTGGTAAGGGGGTTCAGTTGAATTACCGACTCCTAAAATTATACCATGCATAAAATTAATAAATAAATAAACGATTTTTTTTTTACTTTTTAAAGGTTCTTGTATGTACTGGTTGAATTTTGGATTCATTCAATAATGCATGACATTTAGTAATCCAAATAATTATGGGATAACTTGTTTCCCAATCAAACGACTCCTGACAATATAAAAAATATTTATAATCATATCACTTATTTGGTAATTACAAGTAAATTATTTGATAACCAATCATTAATTGGTAATTCTAAACATAATAATGTTTCTTGTTTTTGACTCATCATAATTAAATGAAGGGAAATTACCAGTTATGTCTGTCCATAAGTGCATTATTACAAAAGTTGGTAAATTGATAAAATATTACTAATATTAGCCAATTAGTTATTGTAGTAGGGGTGCTTATCGAGCGGATTGGGCGGATAATTACGCTTGACGGTTCGGCTTATCGGTTATCAGATTATAAATGTAGTAATCCGCTAGCCATCCAATAAGACAATGGGCGGATTGGTATCGGATTAACGATTATCAGGCGGTATATCGGCTAAACCAAATAGAATTTTTTTGAAGAATCATTCAATCAATACCAAATTTTTAATACCATCTAAGATCTAACTGTATTTTTGAATTGAAGAGTCTTCTTCCAAGTTCCAATCTAGTTTATATTCAAGACTACTCATACATGTATGAATCAATCAAGCTTTCAGTAACATTCGTTCTTCACAAGAAATTCAGATTGTAAAACCAAAAATTCAGAAAATCGAATTTTAATTTGTTAAATGCATGCAAAAAAGGACATAAAACCAGACAATCCAGCTATTACGGATAAAACTAACGGACAATTCAATAAATTACTTTCAATAGTACTTTATATACATAGGGATAAAAGTGTAAATATAAAAATTCTTAACGGGTTAACAGTTTACCCGATAAGAAAATTGAGTAATCCACCCCCAAACCGTTAAGCCGTTAATTATAAAATCTCAATCCGCTCACCATCCATTGCCCCGATAATCCGATACTAATAAGCCAATAAGTCATCGGTTCGGTTCGGTTCGATTAACGGTTTCGGTTTGGTTTTGAACAACCCTAATTTGTAGCCCAAAAAATATCAAAATTTTGCTTTCTTTTGAGTGAGTGTTGTTGGAACAGATTGGGTACATCTTAAGTAGTTTGAATCTCAATTTTGGGATGATTTGGTGGAGTTTTGAGGTAGTTTGAATCGAAAATCGAAGTAGGAGATGAATATGGAAAATGATGATGTGTTTATCCCACTGTGTATCTTGTGTATTGCATATGTATCAAATGCGTATAACATATATATCCATGTATACCTGTGTGAGATACATGCGTCGTAGAAGGATTTTTAAACTCGACTTTAACTATGAATTTTGATACCAAACTAGTCCGAATCACCTCCAATTGTATATTGCCTCATTTGTATATTTTCAACGAATTCCAATCATATCCATTGAAACAAGTTTTTTTTTGCCTAGTTTCTTTTTTTTTTTTTAATTTTTTATTATATATCATTGATAATGAATTCTGAGTCCAAACTAGTCTAATTCATCTTCAAACTTCCTCAAAATTCGTATATTGTCTCATCAATGTGTTTTCAATGAATCGCAACAATGCCCATTGAGAAAAATCTTTTTTTGTCTATGTTTCTTGTATGTTGTATATCATTGGTACTTTTATTTAGTTATTTTTGATAGCATAACCAAAATGGCTAGTTGTTGGTAAACAGTATCTTTTTTTGGGTACATTTCTGTAAGATTATATTGCTCCAATAATATTCAGTTACTGCAAACGACAAACTCCAAAACGTTATAATTTAAGGTTTGTTGGCGTGTTTAATTCACAAGTTATACTACACAATTCAAATAAAAAAACAAAAACAAAAAAAACAAAAAAAAAAAAAAGAGAAAGAGGCAGTGCTGACACGCTCTCATGAATTTGCAATTCTGGGACAAAATAACGTTCAAATACATTGTCACACCGGTGGAACAATAAATAACATCCTTAACTATGCGTGATTGGAGTGTGGGAACAAACAATTGCAAAGTAAGGTTGTGTACAATAGATTCTTGTGGTCCGACTCTTCCTCAGACCCGCGCATAGCGGGAACTTAGTGCACCGGGCTGAAGACAGGACAACTATGCATGATTGAGCCAATAAATTGCACTGATTAATGTAAAGTTTTCATTACACTCTCAGTGGATATAAGTTACATCCTATATACAAGGAGTTGATTTGTCCTTTCTAAAAAAACAAAGCTCATATGGGAGCCAAAAGAGTCTGTACAACAACAACCAAACAAATAAAAAAACATCTTTGCAATAGAACAGCAAAATTCCATGATTGTTGTTGGCTGTCAAAAAGTAGAGATGTTAACAGTATTAATAGAGAACACAGCCTGCAGAGTATACCTCAGATCCATCTTCCAGAAGAAAATCCCTTTTTCTTCGAAGGAATAGCCAATCCCAGCTCTTTACATTGCTCTTCATCCGGTTGTGAACCCAGAAATCCCGTCCCCACGAAATGTACCCCCGCTGATGCATCCTCAAGTTTTTTCTTTAAACTTAAGGATGTTGAGAGAAAAGACTTTGAAGTAGTCTTTGATGATTTCCTCGTTGGTGTGACATCCAACTGTGCTACTTCCAGAAATCGCTCGGTTGCTGCTTCCCAAGAAAGTTCATGCCTTTGTTTATCAGCCAGTGGAGCAGGCTCGTCGGCCAACGCCTTGAGTGTAGCTTTAACAAACCCTTCACCGTCATCGTATGTTCTGCAATTCGGGAACTGCATGAAGAATTCATTTGACGGATGGTTGGCGCATACAACTATTTTGCCCATTGCTAGTGCTTCAGCTGTGGTTGTACAAACTACATCTGTGGTGCTTGGATTAAGAAGCACTTTATAGCTGAAGTAAAAAAAAAACGAACAATTAAAATAAAAAACGAATTGTCATGTGTTGATGATATGAGAATGAAATACAACACCTACAGTCAAAGTACATTCACTGTCTCTAATGCTTCATTCAGCAAACTTTAATTATGTGCTAAAAGTAATTCAAATTGTCAAGGTACATAGCACGTGTAAAGAAAGAACAAGAAATGATGCAGTACGAACAAGAATTCGTTAGGTTTCCTACTTGCTACTATGCTACTTATATGCACACTGAGGATAGTAGGAGGCACTTTGGTAATCCTCTGAATCCCTAAAAGTGGAAGTGATTTAAATTGGGAAGTTTCATGAGTCTACTTATGGTGTTAGCTAGCTATTCTGCAGCTTCCACCATTTATACCTTCGTGTAGCTTAAGACATGCTGCGTTCTAGAAGCTATTCCGAGTCTCCCACAAGTTATCCCCTGTGGTTAAATTGCAATGTTTTCAAGTCGATGAATGTTGCACCTTCTGTTATGCTTTTGTCAATTTAACTGTGCAGCAGTGTTGTTCCGTCAACCCTATGACACCAAAGAAGCCAAAAAGCAGGATAAATTTGTTGTCCCAATACTTTCACATCAACCCTCAAACCAGTCCCCAACCTTCTTCCTTCTTCAGAATTTCCTGGGTAACGACCTGTTAGCTCATAAGCTGATGAAGCAGCTGTTGCGTCATACGACATGATCGTCACGAGGTCACAGTTCATCCAACACAATTATCTGCAGTGAAAAAGCATCTATGCGGGGTGAAATTCTGCCAATAGCAGAGATGTTAAGTCAACTCCTTGCCAGTTGTGGGGTCACGACCCATATCAGAGAGTATTAAGGAGGAGGAAGAAG